CTGCTGAGGAAAAACAAATAATTCTGAGAAAGATAAGCAATGAACCTTCTACACTGGAAATTGTCAATAACTGCTATATTATAAAATGTATTGCAAAGTCCAAACTTATTTCTACGCATGTAATAAAATGTATTGTATACTATTGCATGGTCTGGATTGCCAAGAGCCTTTATTTGTGCACAATTTACAGTATTACGTGTCTGAATTTACATTTTCTATACATCCTATGAAATTTGAGAAATACCAATTTGTCCAGTTGTATCACTCTTCTCTTGATTTGTTTTGAAATGTTTATTTGCAACCATAGGTTTTAGCAAAACCACTCTTCTCAAAAATAATGTATTTTAATAAAAATGTTTCAAAATTGTATTCAACATGGACTTCATGTCTTCAAGGAAAAAATCCATTATCCTTATAGGTAGCTTCTAAGTATGACTAGCTTTTAAATTTCATGCATATCTCTTTTATATTTCAAAAGATATAACTATAATTTCTTAGATCTTTGGGTATAGTAAATATTACAGATAAAGTGATACAAGATTATTCTAATTATCCTAAATTATTATCCTAAGTTTTGGATGTGAACAGCAAATAAAATAATGACCTGTATAAACTCTGCCTCTGGGTTTATTTTTTTTAAACATATACATATATTTACATATACATTCTTCCTAATGTTTTTCCAGAAGTGCAGAAGTGCTCCACAAATTGGGATAAAATATCAACAAATATTGGTCAAATCCAATCCTGAAAGCTATCAAGGAGACAGCTGGCTCTTGGTCTACCAACTAAGCAGCTGTCAGCACCTGATGATCGGAGGTTCGGCCCAGATCGGTTGGGCCCAGATCAGCTGATGGCCGATCTGCAGTCAAGTAAGGAGATAATTGCCATGGTTGGTGTGAATGAGCTTAGCTCCATGTCACTAACCAGGTAAGGCTTGGGAGAGCTCTTTCGCGCATTTAAAATGCTGATCTGATGGCTTTCAGAGTTACCGCAGCAACTGTCTGAAGGGCGGGAAGAGAGCTGTCAAAGAAGATTGTGAGGAAATTGACAGCTTCATTATTGATTGCTTGTTCGGGCAGTTTCTCGCCCTCGAGTCCAGATGGCAGTGCAAGTCCCAGGGGAGGCAGGCTGCCTGACAGTTTAGACAGGAAATGGTGGATTCAACTGCTAATGGCGGCCACGCAAGCAGGAGAGTGGAGGAAATGGCTTGCAGGTCATTACGCTCTCCCAGTCCTGAAGCCCCAGCTCCATCAGCTTCCACGGAAGCCTCCAAGCCTAAATCCAAGACTGCGGGGTCTCAAAAGAGCTCCAAGGCAGGCAAGCGTGATGAGCACCGTAGAGACAGGGCTCTAAACAGGTTATGGGCTACGAGACAGCAAGCCCTATTCCAAATAGTATGGTGACAGATTCCTGCCAAATGGCCATTAGACAGGTGAGCTAAGCCTCATCAGAATGACAGGCGACAATTACAGGAATTTGCCACTGGGGGAGCTGAGGAGCAGTTTCATTTCCAAGAACCAGAGCTGCCTTTTGGCATTGCTGAGGAAATAGACTTGTTTCCTGTCTTCCCAGAAGTTGCATGAACAGCTCTGAGACCCAGAGTGGCTCCAGAGGCCACTTTCACCCCCACTGCTGCGGGGCTCTGATCAGCAGGAGGGCAGGACCCTGATATACAGTTAGATATGCAGGCTGTGATAGCTAAAGCAGTTAAACAAGGAGTATCAGCTGCCCTGAAGCAATCCAGGTGATCATCCTCAGTGGCCACAGGTTCTTAATCTAGACCAATATTCTGATACTGTGTTTAATAATGTACTAAAATAAAGAAGAACCTTTGGGGGGGAAAGATGAAGATGAGGACTACTAAGCTTAAAACTGGGCAGCATTGACTTTAATTGTGCATCATGAGAGCACTAAATAGCCAAACTACAATGAATGCTTGTAGAAAACAATTTTACCTATAGGTTCACAACAGAGCAAATTTTGACACAATGCTTAGTATATAAATGTGCCCCTCATGCCCACACTTTTCAGTTAGACACCGCTGCATTCCCCATCTTTTACCTGGCAGTTCTAGGCAGGGGTGGGTTTCTACCAGTTCTGTCCACCTCTGTAGAACCGGTAGCTCTGAAGAGCAGCAGACATAGAACCGGTTCTATGTCTGCTGATGCTTTTGCCTAGCCGCCCACCTCTTACCTGATCTTTATTTCCTGATTTTTCAACTTCAGCTGCCAAACGAGGCACAGCTGCAGTTAAAAAAGCAGGAAAAGAGGGCTGTTTCAAAGGCTGCTTCTCTGCATACAGCATGCTGATGTCGATTTACAGGCGCGCGGCTCGCAGCGCACAGGGAAGCACATCATAAATCACCAAACCTCGTAAATCTCGAACTGGTAGTTAATCCTGTTGTATCCTACCCCTGGTTCTAGGAAATTATTAGCCAGAGTTGATATTTCAGCATGGAATACATCAGGAACAAGGAGGTGATATAGACCTAATCAGGAAATTGAGTCAATCAACACAAGGCATTAGCTACTGATTAAATCTACAACCTTGCAGGAAATTAAAGTGACAACAAAACAGGAAGAGAAGCTGATGTGGTCAAGTATGGAATAATAAATGGTTATCCAAGCAAATACAGGCATCATAGAGAGGCTATAGAAGTCTTTCAGGGAAATACTTCCTACTGAGCCAAGAGTTTTTGTGGAAGAAATTCAATTACTACATTTTACAGATATAACTGAAAAGAAATACTCTGGTATTCCAACTTAATTGCAGCAGGGGATATTGTCAAAGGAAAGCTTTGCAACATACAGTATTATTATATTGTTTCACACAAGTAGACAATATGAGCAAAAATAGATCTTTTCTTTGCATTTTTGAGATCTAAACATAGTGACATGGAAGATGCAGGGAAATCTTTGCTAAGGCTGAGGCTTCTCTGGACATGAAGATGGAAAGTAAGAGGATATTGTATTTTCAAAGAGTAGAAGATCACCAAATGGGAAGAAGGTTCGAAGTAGAACATTAATGAGTAACTTGTATATGAAACTATATGTAATACTTTATTGTAGTCATTAGCCAGCACAGATTTTCATGTGTTAGAACAGGGATAGGGAAACTTGGCTCTTTTATCACTTATGGACTTCAACTCCCAGAATTCCTGAGTGAGCCATAAAAGTTTCCCCATCCCTGGGCTACTGGTTTTTCAGTTGTGGGGGAAATCAATTTTTGACTTGAATGGGACTATTTAATACACAAATGTAGGGCATATGGCTCACTCAGGAATTCTGGGAGTTGAAGTCCATAAGTGATAATAGAGCCAAGTTTCCCTACCCCTGTGTTAGAACTATTAGAGACTTTGTCACTGACAAAGCATAGGCATAACCAGTACCGACTTAAGAAAAATACTTTTTTAAATGGACTTCTTTCATATATTCACAGCAAAAGGTTCAGTTGATCATGCATGTGTAAATGAGCACTTTATTTCAAGATACAACAAAAATCAGTGCTAGTCAGGTAAGGGGTGGGGGGAAATCCAAAACACCTAAAGCAATGCTTCTATAAGAATTAATTGAAAAAATCAGAGAATAAGATGCAAGCTTTTGAATTCTTCAGAAGACTTCATCAGACAAGACATTAAACAGAGAAGCAGAGGGGATAGAGAAAATGTAAAAGGAAGGAAAACCAAATTTGAAGGAATTTTTATTTTTAAAAGAATAATATAGGTTTGTTTATTAAAGTAATATACAAATTTAAACTGATTCCAGAAATGGTTTAACCTGGGACACTATAGAAGATAAAAATGATAGTGAATTAAAATTATCAATTTTCTAATAATCTGAGATTATTAGAAAAATGGATTATTATTATTCTTGTGGTGATGGTAGTGGTTGTTTGGTATCTTTGTTTAGGGTTAGGTTTATACATATTTATTGAGTCTTTATATTCCAGTGACAGCATCTTATAAACTTGGGAGAGCACTAATATTTATTAGCCTAAGATGCAAAGGTAGGCATTTTTAAAGATATATTTATTATTTTTTTCCAATATAGAATAGAATAGAATAGAATAGAATAGAATAGAATAGAATGTTTTATTGGCCAAGTGTGATTGGACACACAAGGAATTTGTTTTGGTACAAATGCTCTCAGTGTTCATAAAAAGAAAAATACATTCGGCAAGAATCATAAGTATAACACATAATAGTAGTCAAAGGATACAAATAAGCAGTCAAATTATTCTAGTAACCATAATAATAAGCAATCAAATCAAATCAAATCATACTAGTAAACAGTAAATAAAAATCATAAGGATACAAGCAACAAAGTTACAAAGTTATTCATGCAGTCATAAGTGGAAGGAGATGATATACATCCATATTGTGTGTGAACAGAGTTGATTCTGGGTATCATTCATATTAATCCAGTTCATCATAACAATATTAGTAATCACTATCACACTTGTCGAAGTAATCCTCATTATATTGCTTAAGCATACATTAACTAAAAAAACCTAGCTCCTCATCTTTATCTCTATCTTCATCTATGCCTTCTTATTCAATCTAAACATTTCTTTATATATGTAAACAAAATTAATTCTAAGTATCATCCATATTGATCCAATTCACGCTAACAGTATTAATAATCTCTATCATGTTTATCAAATTTAAGTAATTCTCATATTATTTGAAAAATACATAAAAGAAAATGTCTAACATCTGTAAACTTCTAGTCTTTCTGTCATGACATTGAGTCCCAAGTTAGATGGCAACATCTTGTAGTTGAACCCCAAATGAGATGGCAATACAGATGCTTTATGACACCTTGAAATCCATCAAGTGCTAATATTTTTAAACTACAAGATTTCTACAGTCTTATCTACTTAATAAGTTAAACTAATATATGTATAAATTTGCATTCTTAAAAGCAAAAATTCATAGACTTATTTGTATTCTAGAAATAGAGAAAAAAAGAAATATAAAAAAATGGGATTTTTTTTACCTGAAATTAAGTTTTGTTTTCTGAGAAGTCAGTGTATTATTATTATGTGTAGTGAAATCCCAGGCTTCTGAAGATGATTGTGCTGAACACTAAAAGATACAAACAATATGCATTTTAAATCTGTTATATCAACAGTATCATATTGAGGAATGAAGCTGTAAAAAAAACCCAAAACAATGAAATACCACATTGTTCTTGACAAGGTTCTCCATAGCTCTCTTATAATGATAGTTATAGAAAACTGCAAAACTGAACATTAACACTGATGTGCAGATATTTTACCTGATATTATTTTATTTATCCCCATTTTTTATTAGTCCGGTGGAAACACTAGAAAGGGAAACTTACTCTTTTATTTGCCCTTACAGAAATTATTGAACATGCATAGAAACATACCTAATGCACTTATATGGGAGAAAAGGATACATTTTGAAGAGATGCAATAGCATCAGAAGCAGGAATCATGCGTACTTGCTTAGGTTATAAAAATATTGTGAACTGCTTAGATGAGTGATGATTAATATCCAAAATTACAGCTAACACTTAAGAAAGATATTAAAGTAATTTAAGTAAGATGAAAAAATTATCGTATCTAAAAAGAAAAACCTTAAGGAATACCTCCTTATAATCATTAGTATTCCACAATATATCAGTATGGTTAAAAGATAATATTACATAAATTTTTAAAAATGGGAAATGGACTGGACACATTTCACCTAATTTATATTTTGTTTGACTGTCAATTATATGTTCCCATCTGGCCTAATTCTTAACCTCCCTTTTGGAAAGAACAGCCTACTGGGATCCAAATCACAAATTCATATTTCCTTCTGAGCTCAATTGTACATATTGTAAGCCAGTATTGCTAAGTTTAAAACTAAGACAGTCATCCTACGAACCCAATACATTGAACAAATTGGGGTACCCTGCAAGGGATATTCATTTATGTGATTACTGTCTCTCTCCAGGGGTGGGATTCAAATTTTTAACAACCGGTTCTGTGGGCGTGGCTTAGGTGGTGGGCGTGGCTTGATGGCTATGTGACTGTGTGGACATGGCTTGGTGGTCTGTTATTGGCTGGGTGTGGCCAACTCAATATCACTCATATCGAGGCATGCATCTCCTCGCCTGGCCTCTCATGACTGTGGGGATGCTGCAACAGTCGTAAGTATGAAAAATGGTCATAAGTCACTTTTTTCAGTGCCTTTGTAACTTTGAATGGTCACTTCACACAAGCAAAGAACCAGCAAAGGAGGGGGGGAAAACTCCAGAGACGTTCCTGAGACAGGAAGTCTAGTCCTGCCAAGAATGTAATAAGGGTTAACGGAGAGACAGTTTCTGTAAGCAACACCAGAATGTTTCCTTTCAGCCTTCCTTACAGGATTAGGCTAGTAATTTCTTCTAACAACCGGTTCTCCAAACTGCTTAGAATGTTAACAACCGGTTCTAGCGAATAGGTGCGAACTGGTAGAATCCCACCCTGGTCTCTCTCCAATAACACACTTGTTTTTTTATCACGTTAATTCCTCCTTTCTATCTTATTCTGAAATTAGATTGTATTTTTTATTTTATGCTTTATTTTATTGATAAAGTTGTAAGACTAGTCAATCAATAAACTATTATCTAATTCATTACTTTTAAACATTAATGTTACTTATCAAGTTATTTGATGATCTGGAATCTTATCTTTTACAGATCATTGTTCTGTCTCACAATGAATAAAATGGTAGATACTAGCTAAAAGCAAAACTAGTGATTTCTGCATAGGTAAGATTTCTCAGGCTCCTATATAACTATTTTAGCTTCTTAATAATCCCATAATGATGTTTTAAGATCACTTTGAAACCATCGATATATAGAACCCAATAAACTATTGAAGAAATGTTCATCAGGAGAAAAGGAAAGATGGAGAAAAGGGTCTGAAGTAAGATGGAAATGTTCTGCTTAAGCACGTCATGGCTTTGCATCTTGGGTGCAGAAGAAACATCTACCAAGCTCAGGTTTAATTGCAGAAAGTATATACAAATATGCAATATTAGGATGAGAAAACGCAGTCATTTCATAGAAAGAATAAGTAGTATGCTGTCCTTTTTAAAAGAATTAACCTCATTTTCAGTACAAATGTGAAATTTTAAGACAGTAACCTATTGCAACACAAAAAATATTTTTTTGTGGTTTTATAGGTTGACAGTAACCTATTGCAACACAAAAACACTACGGAAACATGTTTTTCATTAAAGCAACTTAAGTATTGGATTTTGATTCTTTGACAGCATCAAAAGAAACAAACCTGCTGCTGTACAATTTTCTCATCTGTGATCACTCCAGCATTGACTGTGCAAATAATAAGTGTAACATGTTAAATTATGTGAGAAACAGGAATGCCATGAACAGAGATGATATATTTATTTTGAGTTTATTTAAATAATTGAAAAAAGTGCTGTGAAAAACCGATCCTTCAATTTGGAACAAAGAAGGAAAGTGAAGAAGAGAATTTTACACTAATAAAGATAATATCTGAAATCTATATATCTGGACAGTCTTTGACACTTATATAAATCAAAGACTCTTCCAACGCCTCACATGTACTGAGATATTTCAAAGCAAAAAAGTTTATGAAATTTGTCACAGGCGCAGACAGAACCTGATTAATTACTACAGGGGCCTAAGTCCTATTTAGTTCAATGGAATTTACTCCTCATTAAATGAGAATAGGATTATAATAATCATGTATTCAAAGAATATGAAATAGGTTCACTAAAAATTATGATATAAAAATAATTAAATTGGGGGGAAATGAAATAAGAATTTTGTAGTTCCTCTGAACTTTCCTTCCTATTTTTCTTGTAGATTCTACTGCCACCTGATTTATTCAGTTTAATTTAAGCCATATAAGAACAGAGATATGCGGGCATATATAGTACATTTGTGTCAAAATCAAATTTAATAAAGTACACATTCTATTTCCAACAAATAGAACTTCTCAACATCTGAAAGAGAAATTGCATTGGGATATATATAAGTAAAGAATACATAAGGTTTGCCCACATCTTTACATTTTGGAGGTTGGTAGGAGGTTGACTGCACCCTTCAAGCTCCATCATTTTATGATATTTATTTATCATCTACATTACTGGATACTGGGCCAACTGCAGTTCTTGAACCATTTTCAAGGCTACCTGATATACTGTGTGGCAATAATCAACACTAAAGTTCCCTGTTATGGCTCAGCCTATCCTAGGACTGTCTCTTCCAAGTAATTTATCATGTAATTTATCAGATTACAATGGAACCTTTCCCCAATCTTATAATAATAGCTAGTAATGTATGAGTAAAACTACTATAAAGTCATACCTGATCTTCATCTCTTCAAGCATTCCAAAAAGATACTATCATCAAAAGTGTGAAAAAAGTCCTAAGCGATCAAGTAACATAAAGAGGCTTAATGTTCCCTGATCTCTCTTCCTTATCTTGATCATCTCACAACCAAGACAATCTACGTTCCAAATCCAGATCAGACATAGGAGCATCAACGACCAATCAACTGACCATTTCTTCTTTCCCCCACCCCTATGTTCGATGAGAACTATTGGAATGACTATTTTTGCCACACTAACTTTTCTTCTTGATTAACCTCTACCTTATCAAAAGCTACCAATACGTTCTATCAGGATATTCTATTCTATTTGTCCTCTTTGCTCAAAGCTCAGTCTCACTGTCTTTTTACTGTCAAATATTTCATCTTTACTATTATTATGGTTTGTCATACAGTCAGTCACATTTTTAGACTAGATTTGGCATTTTTATCAATCTATCCTTTCAAAGGACCTGGGATATTCCAAATGTGGAATATTATTATTATTATTTAAATATTTTTAAATATTTTTATTAAGCATATTTCATCAGTTTATATTACTTTTGCCATCTTTGCAGCGTTCCAGCATCAATAATATTCATATTTACATATCAGTTACATTCCTTTTTCTTCCTTTAACTATGTACATTACCATTAAGTTTAATATACCTCTTAAATTACCTTTATGTTTAATCTTTACTTCAATTTTCTAACCATTTATACCATGTGTCCCAGACCAAATAATATTCCGTTTCCCTCTTTCTTTTAATTCTAATGTTAGCCTGTCCATCTCCGCACAATCTAACACCCTTTTTTATCACCACTCCCTCAGAGGGCGTGCTGTCCTGATTCCAGTTTTGTGATTCCAGTTTTGTGCATATGCAATTCTGGCTGCAGTTGTTATGTGCAATATAATATATTGAATTTTCTTACTGTAGTTTCCTCTTATTATCCCTAGTAGAAATAGTTCAGGTTTTAACTCAATTCGTTGACTCGTGATTTCCTCCAGCCATTTTCTTATTTTGGTCTAATACTTCCTAGGGTAGCCAATTGATGGTATTGTGGAAAAATATTTTCAGGGTGATGAAAATGACAAGCAAAATGACTACTATGAAAACAGGGAAGAAAACAACGTCAAATCCATCATTGACAATAGCATCCCCATCAGGTCAAATTTTAATAGAGGGTATGCTGAGTGGTGAGAAAACAGGCTCTACACTGAGTATGCAGACCATGCAGATGACTCTCCTTACGATACAGGACATGATGATGATAAGGCAAGAGGCTATAACAAGAAATCATGACAAAATAAATGATATAGGAGAGATGAAGGGAGATATTCATAAACTAGATGATAAAATAGGGATGATACAACAGGCAATAGATAAGAATGAACAAAAAATGCAGGTGGTGGAAATAAAACAGAACAAAATGAAAAGAAATTAGAAACAATGGAACAGAAACTGATGGCAGCAAACAGAAATCTGAAAGAGGCAATCGTCCATCTAGAAATAGAAAAAGAAGCCTTTTTCTTCAGATTTCAAAATGTGGTTGAAAATAAGGAAGAAGACCTGATAAAGATCATGTCAGAACTACTAGCAGATACTCTACAGAAAAGTAAGCAGGAAATCAAAGGTGACATAGATGAGATTTATAGAATACATACCAACTATGCAAGACAGCACAAGTTACCAAGGGAGTCCATGTGAGATTCCCTAGGAAAACAATGAGAGA